GCTCAAGGCAGATCAACTCAAATGATCAAGCGAACAAAACACTGTACTCTATCAATTCGTCTGTTTGGGACTCTCAAAAAAAGGAATCGCATGGTCAATAGGAAATTCCAACTTCATTGAGGTGTCTGCGAAACTGACCACCTAAACTAGTGCTTGCTTCCTGAAGTCACGATCTTGACTGCCTTGCTTCATTTCCTCCATAGCAGTATATCCATCTGATACCCTATTATGTGTCCATTTGTTTATGTGGCCTCCCGCCTCTTCTTTTTGTAGTAGTATGTCAGTCCCCCCAGGATGGGAAAGTTAACAGATGTTTTCTCCATTGTATCTCAGATCTGGGATGGTGCCTGGCTCAGAGTAGGCTTTCATCAATAGTTGTTGAATGAACACATAAAGGAATGAATGAAATAATGAATTAACATGACTATTCTTAACTGCATTTTATTTGTCTCTGCCCCGCCTCACTTTTTGCCTTTAGTAAGAGTTGCTTGATGACTGACTCTGAACATATCAGAGAATTCACAGATTCCTTGATTCTTGAAAAATAATATATGAAAAAACAAGCACATATCCATAAATTGTATGCCTAAAGAGCCTCTCTTAACAGGAAATAAGAGATTCTCTGACATTCTTACAAAGTGGGCCAAATGAGCTTATAAGTAATTCCTGAGATAATTGACAAAGGGTCAGTTTACAGGCGCACGCCTGAGGCTTGGTCAGATTGCCATCTCTGTGTGGTCTGGCCTCCTGCAATGTCACAGACAATCTGTCTGTCATCACAGAGCAGGTGGCCAGGCAGGACTGTGGGTGTGGATATGGTGACATGTCAGTTGCTAACCAGGGCCTGCACTATAGCTACAAGGAGAGGATTGCTATTGAGTTGCAATTTGCACTGGACAGGGGCCAAAGAGTTTACTTTACCCTAGAACCAAAACCCATCTTCTGTCCACACAGGCCAGTCCTTTCCAGGGGACAATATGTGCTTTATTAATTCATCTACCATATACCCAAACTGTTCTACATGCTGGGGATTGAGTGTTCAACAAAACAGAAAGAGGCCACGCAGCCAATGGACTCAGTTTTCTTGATCATCTCTTCTAATCTGCTTGTATATTTTTGTCAGGTCAATTACAAAACTCACTTATGCCCCTTAGAGATGTAAAAGGCCCTCAAACATTTGCATGCTCTCTTAAGTTTCCAAGAAGAGTCCTTATTTTTATATTCTGTTAAATACCAATGTTTGATGGAATAGCAGACTACAAGCAGCATTGTGGCAGATGTAAAGGGATTTTTTTGTTTCACTTGTCCTTACCACTAATTACCTATTTGATCTTAGGCCAGTGGTTCTCAGCTCTGGCTGAAACTTAGAACCACTCAGGAACTGAAAACATTTCCAGGGCCTATATTCCACTTCCAACCAATGAGAACAGAAACTCCAAGAGTGGGTCTGGGCTTAAGTATACTTAATGGATACTTACGCGTAGCCGGGGTTGGGTAAATCTGTTTGAACTATCTCAGTCTGTAAAATGAGGGTAATCATAACTCCCTCATTGGTTCCTAAGGATTCTGTAAACACAAGTTAGGTTGTATATGGCAAATGATTTCAATAGCTACACAAATGACATTTATTTTGGTATACACTCTCAAAAAACGTTAAGCAAATCCAAAGACGGTTAAGCTTTTTGAGTGACAGCATAAGATTTTAAAAGAAAAGAAAAATAGAATGTAGCTTTGGAACTTTTCTTGCTCATGATTGCTAGACTCTAGGCCACACTAGAAAAGATTCTGAATTTTTAGAGACAAAGGCATATAGTTTCATTATTTCCAGATACTTCTGGTGGTAGCAGAATCGGCATCTTAAAAACCACGGATGAAGACATCCGTAAGTTCAGTCTATGTCCTTCTTAGGTGTCTTTGCTGTCACCATTTTCAAGGGCTACTGTCTGGACACTTTGGTAACTGCTAAAACATTGGTGGTTCTCAGAATATTCTGATCAGTGGCCAGCAATCGAAGATGCAGTAAGGGAGCTATATGTCATAGATGATGCTTTAGAAAAGAGATTTACTGAAAAAAGCTGAAGTGTGATCTCGCAGGGACATTGCTTTGGAACTGGATTGATGAGATTGCGAGGAACAGCTTGCTGGTACAGAGTACCCTGGAGGCTTTGATCTTGAATCTCTGTTGGTAGAGAGTCCTTGAATCAACACTGAGGAACGTTTGTGCAAACTTAGTGAAGAAGTTTATGTCCTGCAGGTTAAGTTCATCTGTTAATAAAATTGATGTGATAAGCAAAATTTTCATTGTAGTGGAATTTGTTTAAAATGACTCTATTGGAGGGGCACATGGGTGGCTCAGTCGGTTGAGCGTCCGACTTCAGCTCAGGTCATGATCTCGCGGTCTGTGAGTTCGAGCCCTGCGTCAGGCTCTGGGCTGATGGCTCAGAGCCTGGAGCCTGCTTCCGATTCTGTGTCTCCCTCTCTCTCGGCCCCTCCCCCGTTCATGCTCTGTCTTGCTCTGTCTCGAAAATAAATAAACATTGAAAAAAATTAAAAAAAATAAAATGACTCTATTGGAAATCATACCCTCAGATTATCACAGAGATGGGATCAAGTTAATACCCAGACCTAAAGGAAAAGAAATACTGTGATCCAGTAAGAATGTGGTTTTGTTTTGGAAAGCAAATTAGCGCCCAGAGACAGAGTTTGTTTCGCCAGATATTTCTTTGAAGCAGATTCACTGCGGGAATGTCACAAGTCAATAGCATACAGGATGCCTCTTAATAAAGAATAACATGCCTCCGATGAAGAAATAATACACTCCAAATCGATGATTGATTAACCACACTATTGTTCCAGGCAAGAGGAAAGGAAAGGAATAAAGTCCACATTCACTTCAGTTGTACCTTTATAGGAGTTGGCACTTGGGAGAGATGGGTTAGCCCACTGCGAGCTGAGGTCCAGCTGTCAATGCAAAAGTAAAAGTTCCCTGTTGCTAGACCACGCTGCTAGGGAACAGTAGTTCTGGTGTTGATGGGCAAGATGATCTTTGCAAGGGCTGCTGGATGGCTTTCATCACTGCCAGTAAGAATCGCCTTTACCAAGGCAGGAGCTAATGCCCCAAGGTCTTTGGAGAGCTATTTTAGATGAGCAAGGAGTCGCCTTGCCCAGACTGAACACTCTCAGATAGTCCTTACAAACTCTCCGGTATTTATAGTCTAAATGCCCATTTGCCTTAGTTGTTTTTTGTGTGTTTTTATCCAGAAGCCTCACGGGGGCCCTCAGCAGCTGAGCTGCTGAGTTCTTATTGGTGAGAAGAGATGAGATGACGATATCCTGACACAATTTCCTTCATTCTTATATCAGAACAACTTTACTTCTAAAAGCAACTTTTTTTTTTTTTGGTCTTTGTCATAAACAAGTGGATTTGAAATCGTGTCAAACCAATATAACAAATGTGGTGCCCCTTTTATCCAACATATAACTACACTCTGTACTTGAGACAAAATTGGAAAGTACACAACAGCTTCTTTCATTACAGTGAATGAAAGTACTCTTCTACTGTAGAGCATCCGTCTTCCTGGATTTATTTATTGTATAGAATTCTGGATAGTGCAAATGATAGCGTGATCATTACTGATAATGAGATGGCCTGATTATGTAGAACCCAATTATATAGACACTTTTTTTCTTACTTTATGAATATCATTTTTATGGAACTTTACCAACAATAGTATAACATCGGCATCGTTTATTAAATAATTACTACGATCAGGAACTATGTCAAGCATATTATATACATTTCATCCTTCCTATGGCTCCTTTAAAGATATTTTTACCATCTAGATTTTCCAGGCAAAGATACTGTGACTTGGAGAGGATAAAGAACTTCCGCAAGACTACACAGCCAGTGATGAGATTCAAACCCAGATATTCTGACCCCAAATCCTTAACTCTTAACCAGTTTCTGTTCTTTACTGATCCACTAATTGCTCTAGCTAATGATTCTGCCATGGAGTTACTCATTGGTCACCTTATCATTGGTAAAACTGTGGGACACTGACTAGGTAATATCCTTAATGTAATAAGGTGCAGAAATGGAGAACAAAAGTGTCAGGATTTGGTCCAAGCCCAATCCTTGACTATAAATTGCTCAAATGTGGAAGTGCAGGTCCCTGATCCAAACACTGTGAGCCGTTCAGAGGAAGTAGGCGATCTGCCAGTGAAGGAATTACGGGTTATAAGTTTGAGTCTACTGGGGAGGTTGCTCCCACCCAGCAGCAGGGTCCACTTACTGGATGGAATTCACAGGGTGGTGCTCAACTAGTCAAAACAAAACAGAGAAGTAAAAGTTTACTTGCAGGAACAAGATCTCAGTGAGGAGGAACGATAGCACTTGGAAGTCAACAAAAAGTCCCTGCAGTCATCCCTGATTCAAAGCCCTGTTTCCAAAGGAAACCCAAAGCACATATGTTGCCAGTGGTCCACCTGAAGTTCCTAGATGTGGGAGAGTGGCCAAGGCTAAGCTCTGCTTGCTGATTAGGCTCGGGAGACTATACTATTTGTTTCTTATGTAGAAATCTGTATCAGACTAAGCCCAAGAATGAGCAGGTAGTTGAGTGTGAAGGCCAGCACAGTAGGAAACGAGGCGGGGAATGACTGGCTCCAACTGGCTCCAAATTCATGCCCTGGAGAAGACCCAAGACTAGAAAAACAACAATGGTACCTCTGACCTAAGTGATTCAAAGTAAAAATGAAAAATATTACAATTTGTTTACTTTTTTATACTTGTGTACTTGTATACAACTCATGTACTTGTTTTCCTTATGAGGAAAGATTATTGAGGGTTCTAGTAAAATATTAAACATTAAAAACAAATTTTGGGGGCACCTGGGTGGCTCCGTCGGTTAAGTATCCGACATCGGCTCAGGTCATGATCTCGCGGTTTGTGAGTTCGAGCCCTGCGTTAGGCTGACAGCTCAGAGCCTGGAGCCTGCTTCCGATTCTGTGTCTCCCTGTCTCTCAGCCCCTCCCTTGCTCCTGCTCTGTCTCTCTCTGTCTCTCAATAATAAATACGTGTTAAAAAAAAATTAAAAAACAAATTTTGGTAGCCCTGATCATATGTCCAATTGCTCTGTAGACTGGATGAAAAAATAGGGCCTATTCACATTTATACTTGGTCTGAGAATAAGTTTGCTAAAAGATCTCCTGAAGGTTGGAAGGGAATTGGTTCATGAAAATCAGAACCATCGTGAGAATATATCAAATCTTAGTGATTTCCCTGTGGAGTCCCCAGACAGTCATACCACACTGCTTTGGATACATAACATTAGCAATCCCTAACCAAGCTCAATGAAAAGAATGGAAATCCATATTCAAGATTACAATTAAGAAATACTATTGGCATTGGAATGTAAATCACCACCTTCCTACATACAATAGTTCTTTCCAAAGCCACAGCCTGCAGAAACCACTCAATTTCCTTACCTTAAGCCTTGTGCCAGTGATGTAGCCTTTGATAATTCTTGCAATAAAAATCCAGTCATGTATGACATTTTGGAGGGAGCAAAAGGTTTGATTTGCCTTCGGGCCCTGGAACCCCTGTAAAGATGCCTTTAATGAGAAATAAAAGGCAAAAAAAAAAAAAATAAGAAGAAGAAGAATAAAAAAATTTAGTATTCAGAAATGGGGCCAAATCAAAAAAGGGTGCCAAATCACTGGGTCCTAGGCTGCCTTTTAATGGCGTTAGGTAAAGAGAGGACCTTAATGTAGATTTTTTCTCCCCAAAATTCAAATTAACCTACTATCAGACTAGATTGGGAAAAAAAAGACTAGATTGGGGGAAAAAAGTGTCCTTCAGTTAGCCTGTTCCTGTTTCCTGGGGGTGGAGTCTTTAGTTACATGCTTTGCTCTGTGTCATTTAGAAAGCAGCCGCTTTTCTCTCCAAGTCCCTTTCATTGAGCGTGAGCCAAACGTCTGCCTCTCACACTCCCTTGAAATCAGTACCCTAAGTAATTTTTGGCTAAGGACATACTCTTACACAGAGGTAGTGACCTTCTGTGTCTCCCCACATGTCATTCTGTTTACACCCACTAGTCAGTGCAGTCTAACAAAAAGTCTGTGGAGAGTCAAGAACATTTTAACTTCTAGCAAGGCAAGGACAATGTTGCTTGGGGAGAATGCTTCCTGGGAACACACGAGATAAGAAGCTTGGTTTCCTCCGCGAAGCTGTGCACCCCTGACTGTTAGATCCATGCAGAACACCCTTGTTAATTAAATCACTGTCCTCATTCAGGCGGTACCAACACCACTGGTAAGTTTGCTAGAAATGCAGATCCTAGGCCTGCATAAGAAACCGCAATCCCTAGGTTAGATTCAAATGCACATTCAAGGTTGAGGGCTAGTGGCCCGGAACAGTGGCTCTCAACCTCGGTTACTTGTAGGAATCAACCGGGGAATCTTAAAAAAAAAAAAAAAAAAAAAAAAAAAAAAAAAAAAAAAAAAAAAAAGAAAGAAAGAAAGAAAGAAAGAAAGAAAGAAAGAAAAAGGAAAAAAATACTGCTGCCTGGGTCCTACCCCCCAGAGATTCCAAGTTAATCAGTCTGGGGTGTGGCCTAAGCACTGGGAGTTTTAAAAGCTCCCCAGGAGATTCTGAAGTGCAGGCAGGGTTGAGAGCCACTGGCCTCATACTCAAGCTGTGGGGTTCCTAGAGTCAGATTCTCCTTTCCCCCGTGGCCTGGCTGCCACAGAACTGACAGTAAGTAGCGGGGAGAACCCTGCTAAGGACTGAACTTTCTCCCTGGTGCTCTTTTCCTCTGCCTTCTCCATACAGCTGCCCCTTACCCCACCCCATCCCCAACCGCCCAGACTACACCAGCGGTGGATGTCCACGGGGGCTTTAAACACACAAGCTTGGAGTCTCTCTTGAGAACTTCAACATCAGAGTCTGGAGATGGGACGCTGAAATCTGCATTTTTAACAAGCTTCCCAGGTGTGTCTGATGTGGGGCCAGGTTTGTGAACTCCACAGTGGGTCTAGCCTTTCATCCTGCCAAGTCATTAAGGATTTGTAAGGATGAATGAGCTGTCAAGAGAGCAAGGGCCTGGTGCAATGCTCCTTTATTAATTATGGCGAAGTGATGTATTGGCAATGATAATGCTTCTCTTGGAAAGGCCAATGAATGGTTCGTCGATTGCTGCATTAGATTTTTCTCAACTCAACCTTACCGCTCAGCTCTTACTCCTCTCTGTAGTTGAAAAGCTGCACGGCTTTCACGTTAAACAGCTTCTTGGTCTTCATTCCCAGGTGAGCTGCAATCTTTGAGAGAAACAGCCACACGGAGAATCCTTCAGAGATCTTGGCTGGGGACCACCTCTCCCCTCACCCCCATGTCCTTAGCGGCTTGTGTCAGCAGCTTCTAGCCACGGTACTGCTGTGCACGTCTACATGTAGGAAAAACACAATGAGGGGGTGAGAGAAAATCATTGATGAAACCCCACATCCCTTTGCTAAACGAGAGCTTCCTTCAGCACAAGGGATAGAAGGCGGAGGAAGAGAGATACATCTGGAGTAACAATTTCAGAGGTGAGAAATGGGCAGGCAAGTCGGGGTTAGGGTTCTGCCTTGCGGGGAGAGGCGAGGAAGCTTGAAAGAAAAGTTGCAGCGCCGGTCTGCGCGTGTAATCGATGGGCTGGGTGCCCGAGAGAGCGCTAGCGCGCGGCCGGAACGCACTGCGGGGCCGAGGGCCGGGACCAAACCGAGAAACCTTGGAGGCGGCCGAGGCCGGGAGGGCTCCCCGCCCGCCCGGGGCGGCACCAACCCGCCGGCTCTTCCCCCCGGCGGTCCCCGAGGGCGCCGGGGCCCGGCGGGCCGCGGCGGGGCCGAGCGCGCGTGTGAGCG